AGAGCGGGTGGTCAGCTCATTCAAGTTCGACAAGCTGAACGCCTTCTCGGCGTTCGAAAAGGGAATAAGCGATCACGAGCGAGAACGCACCCGGCATGGTAAACCGCTCCCCTCCTCAAGATCCTCTTCGTCCACCTTCCCTCATGAACTGCTCTTCCAGCCTCCTTCTCCGCCCGCTCAGCCTTCGCAGCAACCTCTCTCGCCTTCTCCTCCGCCTTCGTTCGCCGCTCTTCCTCCTCTTCCTCGGTGCTCTTCAACGCCGGCTCGACGGGTAAGGGAGACTGGCCAGAACCGTCGTCGCTGTCGCCGGGTGTCGACGCGCCGCTCGTGGACGTTGATGCCACCTCACGCTCGCGCTGCCGGTCTCGCGCAATTCGCAAACTACTCGACCTTGACAGCGGCGGAGCAGAGAACGACGCCGTGCGAGACGGGGGTCGCTCAGTCCCGTCGCTGCGAGAAGCAGAGGAGAGGCGCCGTCGAAGGGTTTGCGAGAAGGACGACGAGCGTTGAAGGAGCTGCGTCATCGAGCCTCGTCGGGAGGGGGAGATCTCGCGTCTTGTCGAGGTTTGCGAGGCGGATAGGGAGCTTGACGACATCGAGGCGTCGGTACTCTCCGACGCTGCTGAGACGGAAGCGGACGAAATGACAGGCGTAAGAGCTGGCGAATTCGGATCCGACGGCGGGACGAGCTGCACTCGCGGCTTCTGCCCAGTCGGTACAGGCGTATCCGCCGCCTCGCCGTCCGAAGTCTCGTCGACCGCAAAGTTGGCCATGTCATCCTCCTCCGGCTCCTCGACCAGCGTCGCGCCGGCACCCATGAAAGGCTCAGCCTCGTCCGGGTCGGGAGCGGAGACGAACGACTCGGTGGACATCGTGACAGACGAGGCATTCTTGCTGTTGTTGTCGAGTAAAGGCGGGTTGGGCGCGTCCGACTCGAGCAGATGCTCGACGACCCAGCCGCACCAAAGTGTCGAGCCTTGGTCCGCCGGCGAGCGTCCTGCGGGTATGCGCGCCAGTATGAGTAGAGTCGAACAAAGCGCGCAAAGTGCCGCGCACCCGAGTTATGCTGCGCTGGCACGCAAGTCACCCGTATCCGCTCCTTCTCCCTTGGCACAGACATCGACATCGACCTGCTCGTCCCGCCGCTCCGAGGGTCTCCATTGATCGACGACGGCGCGCTCGTGTAGTTTAGAGGTGGGGGGACGAGACCGAAGTCAGAGGGCGTGAGGTCGACGTCGTCCCACCAGTCGCACTCGTGGATTTGCGAGAGGGGAACGCCGCTCGCGTAGAACCATTGCTTGTTGCCTGTCAGCGGTCCAGTCAGTGTATGTTCAAGCTGAGCGTCGTCAGGCGACAGCTTACCGAGAGGGACGAAGAACTTGACGCGAGGCCACTTCTCGAGAACGCTTCTGACGCTGTTCAGGTCGAGGTGGTCGTAGCTGGCGGAAGCGACGCGTCAGCTTTCGGACTCGCGCTGTCAGAGAGCTGCACGCACTGGTTGTGGCTGATCAGGACCGCATCAATGCCCGGCAGATCCTCCACCTTGCAAGGCGTCGGCCGCAGTCGCCCTGGTCCGGTGTAGCTCGTCGGTCCAGCTCGCTCGCTGAAGATCGGGTCGAAGAGCAACTTGAGCGTCGTCTCCTCGTCCTCGGCATACTGGTCCTCCTCATCCACCGCGCCCTCGACTTTCTCGTTCCGCCCTCGCCGGATCTTCTGCTCGTCCGCCTCGCCCTTCTCGCTCTTCCTTCTGAGCGCCGAGAGCGGGTCGGTCGGAACGTCGAGCGGGAGCTGGACATAGACAGCCGCATGTCCCAACCACGTTGCTCGCGCGAACCCAACCTTGTTGCCCTTTCCCTGTCCCTCCGCTGCGCGCTTCAACTCCTTGACCTTGTTCCTCCCCCAGTCTTCCGGGTCGAGAACCTGTAACTCTCGCGCCTTTGGATGCTTGTCGAGATGCAATTTGGGCCATCCGAGCCATGCGCCGCCGAAGAGCAACTCGGTCGCGGAGGGTGCGGATGCTGAAGGCCAGGGATTGCGGAAGGTGAGGGTGCCGGTGATAGGGTGTACGACATGGTGCGCTGGTCTGTCGCCGTTGCTCGCTAAGTCGTCCTGGTCGGGCTGTTCGGACAGGATCATCGATGACTGGCGAGGGGACTGAACGAAGCGCTTGGCGGCGGTGTGGGAGGCGGGCGGCGGGTGTATGGTAGTGCGAACAACTCTGTGCGTCGTTTTTTGAAGCCTCAGCCTTGCTAGAGGGCGCGATCACGGCGACTGGCAGCGATCAGGCGGTGTCGACGGAGGGGAGGAGTGCGAGGTCGGCAGGACCGCGGGCGGCGGTGGACTTCGCTGGCAGGACGAGCGAGAGCGTGCGAGCAGTACGAGCTCCTTCGCAAGCGGCCACAGCGTGTGCAGCGTCAAGATGACGGAAGGAGCGTCCTCTCCTCCTCGCTTGGCGTCGAGTTCGGTCGAGAGACGAACGAGACGACGAACGAAAGTGTTGCAAGTCCAGACAGCGTATTAAACTGAACAACGGGAAAGCATACAGAGCGACAGACCCTCGAAACGCAAGACGGCGCCCGCCTACTTGCCGCAACATGACCCATTCGTCTTCGCATGGCCGTTCACGCCGTTCGTCGTAGGCGCAGGAGGCGACGCGTTGCCGTTCGGGAAGGCGTATTGCGACTTATTAATCGCCTGAATGGAGGGCGGGACGTCGAGGGCGGGATTTTGGTCGAACTGCGAAGAGGAGGAGGGTGAGCGGAGAAGCGAGGTAGGCCAGAATGGGGAGGACTCACGAAGCCGACGGGCTTGAAGTGCATTCTGAAGACCTCAGAGGGCATCACCGGCCTGCGAGACGAGATGAGTATCAGCTTCAGGAGCACGAGCGAGAAAGTAGAGAAGGAAAGCGCGACGCACCAGTCTTCCGGGCGAGTAATGTGCGTAAACCCAAGCGTGAACCACAGCACCGAGTCGCCCTCCAACTCGCGTCCCCGACTCGCCCAAGTCCTGCACCCCCCCTTCCCGCCACGAGACTGCCACAAGTGCTCACCCGAGCCCCAGAGCTCGTCGTCGGCGTACTTGGTGACGTGGATATGGTGGTCGGTGAACTCGCCGCGGATGTAGTGCATTGAGGTCGGGTCGGCGAGGCCGAGCTGGGTTGGCGGAGCTGAGTGGGAGAGAAGGTCAGCTCGAGACGGCACAGACGAGGGGAGAGAAGCGACGCACCGACGACCTTGTACCCAATGGGCTTATTCGTGAAGCGATTCCGCTTGTTCGGGTTGACCATCTTGACGAACCGGTTCGTCGTCCAGTCGAGGTTGAACGCCAACTCGTGCTGGACCTGCGTGCTCCTGGTAACGAATCCAACGCCATGCGGGTTCGTCTGCGGATCGCGCGGCATCGCAGTCGTGTCTTCGTACGTGACGGCATTGGATCGGTAGTCGTCCATGGCGGGGTCGATGCGGAGGTTGAAGATGTGTTGGTGGTGAGGCGCAAAGACACCCTCTGCGACGAGGTTGCCATAGCCCAGTGTGGAGACGTCCGCGCTCGCATCGGCGGGCGTGACGCTCATGATGCCCGTCGCGCGGATCTCGTAGTGGATGGCGGCGGCGGTGTCTGCGCGAGAAGGGGCCGTCAGTTGGGAAGGTCCCTTGTGGAGGCTCGCAGGACGCACCGAAGATCCAATACAGCGCATACTCGTAGTTGCCGACCGTAACAATAAGCTGGAAGACTAGCTCGCGGGTACGAGTTACATCCGCGCGACCCGTGCGGATATTTGTGTGCTTGCTGCCAAGTCCCGCATCCTGCTCATGAATGCAGATGGCATTCGGAATCCTGACGGGCTCGCCATCATGCGAGCAGCTCATCCCGTCGAGGTAGGCGATCACGCCGAGGCAGTCGCAGCCGAGTTGGAGGTTGTTGGCGGTTTGGCCGGCGCCGCATTCGCCGAGGTCGAAGGCGGATTTGCGGTGCAGCGGAGCGCGGGGGTCGCCTGCGACAGATGTACCCGTCAGCGATGAAGAGAGAGGGCAGGAGGAGCGGGCGCACCATAGGGAACGGTCATCTCGCTCAGCGCCATGCGATAGAATACCGGTCGGCCGTCGTAGCAAACGTTGCGCAAGATCATCCCCTCGCGGACGTCGAAGCAACACTTGAACGACCACTTCTGCCAGTTGATCGTCTCGCCGTCGTCGGCAATCGTGAACGAGACGCCTTCAGGCTGGACGATGTGCAGCGGCTTGAGGTCCTTGCGAATGCCGCCTTCGACCAAGTCGGGCGCATACTCGCAATCCTTGTTCGGGACGTAACGAGCATCGGGCGACTCGCTCGTCATGTTCGTATCGGTCGGGAGGCGGTCGATGCGGATCACCTCCATCTTGCTGATCTCGACGACGCAGCTGAAGTCGAGAGGGTGGGCGTAGAAGTTGGCTGACGGGTGATCCTTGTTCTCCTTGTGGTTGAGGAAGAACCAGACTTGCGAGAGGCGAGTAGGCGCTGCGAGACGGAGTGTCAGCGGCGGAAGGCAATAGAGGATGGGAGGAAGTGCTTACTCTCGGTCTCGTCGCTGCCGTAGGGCCAAGGCTCCGCAATAACCTCGCTTCCCTCCGGAAGCTGTAGGCGCTCGAGCTCCTTCTTGACCATCGGTGACTCGAGCGAGATCCTGCAGGTCGCGTCTACTTAGCTCAGAGTCGGGTTGCGAACAGGTGACGGCACTCACTCGGCTATCTTGAGCACCTCTTCGTCGTCTCCAGGGCCGTGCTCGCCTGCGAGGTGGCGTTGGCCGAGGAGGCGGGCGTTAGTCATGTCGACCGTAGCCTCCATGAACTCTGTTCCGCCGGCGAAGTAGAAGAGGGCCTGCGGAGACGAGGGTAATCAGCCGCGGCACTTCGCTGGGCTCGAGAGGAAGTGGACGGACTTGCGCCCTGCGTATGGGCGGCTTGGGGAGAGGCTTGCCAGCCAACTCAGCCTCGAGGTAAGGGACGACCTCATTTTTGGGCGGCTCGATGAGGAGGATGCGACGGAAGAGGCATTTCTTCGTCGAGTTGTACTCCTTGACGACTCGTGCGGCGACACGGAGCTCGTCAGGCTGGAGTGTCGAGAGCGGGTGCGGTGGATTCGAGCGAGGAGTGAACGTCTTGGGCTTGAGCGGGACGGTGGTGTGCGATGCAATGGGGACGGCGACGGGCATGTTTGCAGTCGAGTTGCAAGTGTGTGAGGAGGAGGGAGAGCGTTGAAGCAGTCCCGAAGACGATGGGTGCGCCCCACTGGCCTCGTCTGAGTTATCGCAAGCGAAAGAGCCGACGAGCCGCAAGAGCCGGGCGGCAATGAAGCGAGCGCGTGAGCGGGAGAACGAGCGTCCCGTTCGACGCGGGGGTGGTTGCGGGTCAGCTAGGCAGCATTAGTCAGTGCAACAGAGCATGAAACAGGCTGTCAGATCGCTGCACAGTGCGAGATGCCGACGAGACCAGGTGGACGAGGTGAAAGAGCCGCCCGTCGCGCGCTCGCCTCTCTGCCTTCGACCACGACCCTGTCAGGCTTCCCGCTCGTCGAATTTGTCGTCGTGCAGCATGGAGCCGCACCTCTAACCGCCAGTGCTCTGCTGCGGGGATCCGCACAACGGTTCAGCCAGCAGATTGAGGCGATAGCTTGCCCGCCCACCACTCTCCGCTCTCCCGCTGCCATCGCCCCTTGGCTTGCTTCTTTCTTCATTCGACGCGCACGAACTACACTCACACAGACTGCACCTGGATGGCAACGAACCACTCTGCCCGTCCCGTCGACTTTGCGCCTGGCACCGTTCGTCTCCTCGACTTTGACGACGCTGCTCCTGGGGACGCGGAACTCGTCCTTGTGCCCGCTCCTTCCAGTCACCCAGACGATCCTCTCAACGTCAGTCCTGTACTCCAGCGGCGTTGGAGGTCGTACCTCGCTCACCCGCAGGCGTCTCGCAGTGGTTCGGCCCGCGCAAATGGCTCTCCCTCGCCTGCGTCGTCCTCTATACCTTCTCGTCGGGTGCTCTTACGGCCGCACTCTACTCAATTTATCCTGACTACTCGGCCGCAACCGGCATCGACATCCCTACCCTCAACCAAGGTTCGTCTTGCCTCCTCCATGTCCTGCCCCGCCTTGACTGACAACCCCATACCCACAGCCGTCGGCGTGATGTTCCTACTCGTCGGCTTCGGCCCCATGCTCACCACTCCCCTCTCCAACATCATCGGCAAACGCCCAATCTACCTCGGCAGCCTCCTCTTGTCCGGCTCGATCTCCATCTGGTCAGTCTTCATCAAGTCGACGCCGCAGTGGTACGGCCGCTGCGTCTTGCTCGGAATCGCCGGCGGACCCGTCTTCGCTACGACTGAAGTTAGCGTCTCGGATGTGGTGAGTACGCCAAGCCAGCTCGCACACCGCTCGTACTGATGCGTCGATTTGCGCAGTTCTTTGCACACGAGCGTGCACTTCCGATGGGCATCTACATCATCGCCCTCTACTTGGGCGCCCTTGCCGCGCCGCTCATCGGCGCTTACCTCGCCGCAGCCTGGGACTACCGCGCCGTCTTCGTGCGTCTCACTTCTTCAGCTTCTCACTTGCCCTCACTAACATCTGCACAACCTGACAGTACTTCTGCGCCATCCTCATCTACGGCACTCTCGCCTTCTGCTTCGTCTTCATGGAGGAGACGAACTACGTCCGCCCTTCTCCTCTTGAGACTACCTCCGCCGGCGACGACAGCGACGACGACCACAAGCACGTCGACCCACACAAGATCTCCGCCTCGTCGCACGTCGTCCAGGTCGACGCGAAGCGCAAGTCGTTCGTCAAGCGTATGGCGCTGTTCGAGCGTCCTGGTCCGCACGCTTGGAAGATCTTCAAGGTTGGGATTCTTCAGCCTATTGCATTCCTTCGCCTGCCGATCGTTTGGTGGTGCGCGGTCATGTACGCCTTCGGGCAGGTTTGGTTCAACCGTGAGTCCCGTCGACCTTCCCTCCCATGCTCCTCCTTCTCAAGCTGACGACGAGTCTCTCGGCGCACAGTCATGAACGCCCTCACTGCTTCGATCCTCATGGCTCCGCCGTACAACTTTTCAGTCAAGCAGGTCGGCCTGGCTTACCTCTCGCCGATGATCCTGACGATTCCCAGGCAAGTCCTCCATCCCTTTCCAAGCTTCTTTGCCGCATGCTGACGCTCCCTTACCCTTTGCACAGCGTCATCCTCTACGGCTGGGTCAACGACAAGTGGGCTCTCTGGATGGCTAAGCGACGCGGCGGCATCTCGGAACCCGAAGACAAGCTCTCCCTCCTCCTCCTCACGACCGCCATCCCCCTCCCCGTCAGCCTCCTCATGCTTGGCCTCCCGCCGACCTACGCCTGGCGCTGGCCAGCCTACGTTGTCGCCGGGATGGGAATGAGCGTCATGTTCGGCAGCTTCTTGACCGCCTCGAGCATCTACTACCTCTTCGACTGCTACCACACCTTCAGGCCGTACTCGTACGACTTGCCGACGAGCGACTCGCCGCAAATCCTCGCCCTCCTCATGCCGTCAATGGCCATCTCCTTCGGCTTTGTGCGTCCCTCTCTTCTCCCGTCTCATCGCTACGCTTGCTTACGCACTGCACTACGCGCAGAACTACGCCGTCTCGCCCTGGACAGCCGGAATCGGCCTCCGCAACTTTGGCATCTCCGCCTGCTTCACGGCCTTCGGTTGCGCACTCCTCACCCTGCCCATGCTGCGCTGGGGCAAGGCGCTCCGCATCCGCGATGCAGCCATGTACTACGGTGAGGGCGGGTCAAAGGCTTGACGAGATTCCCTCCTCCCTCTCTATCTATATATCCACGAACGCCTTGTCTTTGGGTTGTTGCGCTGTTTGGGCAATGTCTTGCGATGTTTGTGAACTCCGTAAACCGTTTCGGCTTCACAATGAGCCGGGAACGCGAGGAAGACCGGATCTGTCGTTGCGAAGGTCATTCGCAAGATGGATTCGGCAGCGCAAGTCTCGAGGCTCACGCAGTGGCGAAGCGCTGAGGTAGCTTCTCTCAAAGCCAATGCAGCCGGAGACGAGCGACGGAGTGATCACGAACAACTTTGCAGCACAACGGACTACGCTCGCGAGAAGACCTTCTTTCCAGCGACCCAAGTCTCGACGACGGCATCCTGCGCCTTCGCGAGACAGTCGACTCCGTCCTTGAACGGATCAATCGAGAGGACTGCAAAGTCGGCCGACCTGCCAGGCGCGAGGACGCCCACCTCTGCGTCGGAGTGGCAGGAGTGTGCGGCGCCGCGAGTTGCGCCGATCAATGCGTCGCGGAGGGAGAAGACGGTGTGGCCGTACTTGGCGAGCTGCTTGATGGGCGGCGGCCAGGGCATGTCGGGCTCGAGAGCGGAACGGCGAGTCGTCGCAACGTACATGTTAGGGAGCGAGTAGTGCGGCGCGGTCGGGGCGTCGGTACCGAGGGCGATGCGGCAGCCTGCGTTGCGGAACTCGTCCCAGACGAAGGCCCGCTTCGTCCGCTCGTCGTAGTTGAGCTGAGCGTGCCAGTTGGGCGCGATGACAGGGTCGGCATGAACAGGCTGGAGCGAGGCGGTGATCTGGAGGCGTGCGAGGCGATGTACGTCTTCGGGAGAGATGAGCTCCATGTGCTCGAGGCGGTGACGGCGGTCGTGGCGAGGCCCGTTGACGGCGAAGGTGTGCTCGAGGGCGTCGAGGGCGACACTGACGGCGGCATCACCTGCGAGAGCCTCGTCAGCACGAACAGCGGGAGTCGAGAGCAGCTAGAGAGCGCACCGATAGCGTGGCAGGCGATCTGCAGGCCAGCCTTGTCCGCCTCAACGGGAACCGGCCCGAGTTCCTCGAAAGTCCAGATCGGGTCGGCACGCGAGCCATCTGCATAAGCATCCTTGATATAGGCCGTGCAGGCGTCGATCACGCCGTCCGTGATGACCTTGATGCCAACGACGCGAAGGTAGGGAGCGCACGAAGCGAGACGGTCGCGGTGTCGAATCGCCTCATGCACTCGAGCGAGTCGGTCCGCTTCGGTACCCTCGGGCGAGATGAGCCAGTGAGCGGCAACGCGGATTGGCAGCTCATCTCCCGAAGCGTGATAGGACTCCTCGAGCGCCTCGAGGTCTGGCGGCGACATCGCCATGTCAATGGCGCCCGTCACGCCCGTCGCGAGGTAGGACGAGAAGGCTGCCTCGAGGGCATCGTGACGTTCTTGCTGGGTGAGCTGGGCGGCGAGGAAGGACCAGACGTGGTCGACTACGGCGTTCTCGAGGACGAGTCCCGTCAAGCTGCCTGCCGCATCCCGCTCGAAACGTCCGCCCTTCGGGTCCTGGATCGAGCCGTCGATGCCCATCTCCTCGAACGCCGCGGTCGAGCACCACACGGAGTGGAGGTCCATCGAGTCGAGGTAGACCGGCACACCAGGGAGGATCCGGTCGAGAAAGTGCCTGCTCGGAGGCTGGATCTTGCCCGCCTCGTCGACAAGCGAATCGAACCTCCATGCTCGTCCGAGGAGACGCTTCGCATCTGGGTTGCGCCGTCGGAAGTCGACGAGGATGCGTTCGATGTCGGCGAGGGTTTGGGCGTGGATGAGGTCGGGCTTGAGGAGCGAGCCTCCGAGCATGCCAAGGTGCGAGTGGGCATCAATCACGCCGGGAATGACACATCGGCCTCCGAGATCCGTCGAAGGTGCGGCAGGGTAGCGAGAGGAAGCAGTCGAAGCGTCTCCGACGAATTCGACCTTGCCGTCGTCGCCCACCACAAGCGCTTGCGCCAGATCGTCGCTCGTGTCGTCTGCCGTGAAGATGCGGCCGTTGACGAAGGTATGGGGCATGCTTCTGCGGGAGAAAGAGGCTGTCAGGAGGAGCCGACTCGCAGGTTTGGGGAGCAGGAGGAATGTGGACGCACCACGGTCGGCTGGGCAGTCGTCGGTTCGTGCAGAGTCGCGTAGCAGGTCCAGCAGTCGCTTCGAGCAGCAGCGCAGGCAGCAAGCGCTCTGCGGCTGTCCCCACTCTCCGAGAGTTCCGCTATCGCGGCTCCTCCAACGTCGCCTGCGCGCCTCGAAGCAGCCGAAAGCGTAAGCGCCAGGTTCCTGATCAGCGCATTACTCAGGAGAGCAGCGCGGGGGACGGAGCAGCGGTTCAAGCGGGTGAGGGGGAAGAGGTCGAGCGTTGTCGAGGAGGACGATGCAGGGTGGGATACGGAACCCGACAGCAAGCTTCGCTCAAGTCGCTCGCGCGTCCAGGAAGCTCCTCTCGTGATCACAGCGACGACGAGCGAGTGAGAGATGCTATGCGAAACGAGCACTTCCAGCGCTCGCCAACGAAACGAATTGCAACGATGTACAAGAACCGCTCTCTGACCCGCCGCTGATCACGCCGAATGCGCTATAGGCGTCGAATCTGACGGAGCGGGCGGGAGGACGTGCGGCGCGCCGTGTGTCGTTGGCCGAAGCGAGTTGTAGTGTTCGCCGAGTCCGTACATCTTGCGATGATATCTGTGCAGGGTGCGGACAGCCGTGTTAGCTTGAGGTTTCAGGGAGAAGGTGCGAGGAGAGGACGACGCACGAGATGAGCATGGCGCGTTCTCGAGGGAAGTCGGATCCGTGTTCGACCATGTCGGTCCCGGCTTGCACGACGATCACCGGCGCTTGGTAGTGCAGCGAGAGTGCTCGTATCTGCGCGAAGGCGGCGTCAGGAGGCAGTCAGACGGTTAGAGCGAGGCAACCGAAACGCACCTCTGGCTCGCCTCCCCATTCTGCCGTCCTCTCCACCGTATCGCAGTACTTTGCAAACTCCTCTGCACGAAGGAATAACTTATGAGCTACCGGCACGATATCGAGCACACTTAATCCGCCGACCGCCTTGGCCGCTGGAAAGTGAGGGAGTCGGCAGAAGCTGCTCACCTGGACTCATCATGTTATCCGGCTCCAACTCGCTCGGCAAGAACGGGAGGAACTCGTCGGGATGTGTGCGCATGTAGGCGGCGGCGTTTTGGCGGATGGACTGGTAGTTCTCCCTCGAGGGCTGTGGAAAGAAGACGGAGGGAGCGTCAGTCATCCATGCGATTCCAACATTTCCGACGCTGAGGAACCACTGCGGGAACGTCACGATCGAGCGAAGGTGGCGTACCGCGAGCTTGAGAAAGTTGACCTGGTCGGCGACTGCCGAGTACATACTGAACGCGAAAGACCTCGTCAATCCATCGACTCTCTCACTACCGAAAGCGAGCGAGCGCACCAGTGACCGTCGGGCTCGATCTCCTTGATCATGACCTTGAGCTTCCGACACTGCGCGGAGATGGCCTCCTTCTCCATCTCGACAGAGCGGTCGTTGTCCGCCGCAACCTCCGCCGCCGCTTCTCGCCGTTGTTGCTCGAACGCGTTGGCTTTTCGCAGCTGTCAAAAGGCTCGTCAGCATGCCAACAGTGAAAGAAAGAGCGCATAGGAGAGGAAACGCACCTTCCTCGCCTCCTGGCGACCCATCTTCCGTTCGCCGTTCCCGTTCGGGCTCTGCCGGCTCGGCAAGAAAGCGTCCCTGAGATCCTCCTTGAAACCCTGGAACATCTCCCGCGCCGAGTGTCCGCTGCCCTGGCTGTTGGTCGTCAAGGTCGAACTCGGGCTAAGAGGCGTCCCTCTCGACGGCGGCTCCGACTTGGAGGGTGCAGGCGGCGGCGCAGCATTTCCGGCGTCGTCCTCGAGCTGTCCGCCGAGCTGCTCGAGAAGCTGGTCGGCCAGGTCGAGGACCTCTCCCTCCTCGCCTCCGCCGACTCCTCCGGCGCTGACCACTTCGAGCTCGTCCTGCTTGGCCTTGTAGACGTCCTTGACAATCTTCGCCTTTCCCTTCCCCTTCCCTGCGCTGCCTCCCTTGGCGGGCTTCTTGAGCTTTCCGCGAGCGAGCAGCGGGTTCAGAGCGGGCGGCGGGGGCGAGACGGCAGCGGCGGCGGCGACGAGGGTCTCTTTGTTGTGCTCGTGGTGCGCGGCAGCAGCAGGCGACGAGTCTGTCATCGCTCCGGCAGCAATCTGAGCGAGTTGTTGCACCTCGACCACATCCCGACTCCTCTCGCGCTGACAACTGGCTTGTCTCGCCTTTCTTGCGAGTTGGGTGGACGTGCGTTGCCCGCGCGGAGTCTCTCGAGCTGCTGCGAGGTGGGCCTGGTCCGAACCGGCGACTTGCGCTGGACACTCGAACCGGACTCGCCTTCTCCTCCTCCTGTCGGCAGGCGAGCGCGGGTGTTCCGCGCGCCGAGCACTACAAACGACGAATACAAGCTCAGGGTAATGTCGTGGTAATGTCCGAAGGCTTGCCGAGGGTCCCGCGCCTCCGCTCTCATCGCTGCCGAGACGAGTGACCGGATCAATCTTGACGACGACGCACTGCTCCCCACGGACCCTCGGGCAAACTGGACGAGGGGCTCCTTCTTGCACTCTTCGCCTTTCGACGTTGCACTCGCTCGACGCACACGACCCGTCACCCGCTGACCGCCTGACGACCCGCGAATCCCCCACCTCGTCGACTCCGAACGACTCGCACGTCTCGCCAACGACAGCCCAGCATGTCCCACTTTGTCGCAGGACCCATCGACGACATCCTCAAGTCGGGAGTCGTCCCCCTCGTCCTCGCAGCCCCGCTCCTCGTCGCCCTCCTCTACATCCTCGTCCCGCACTTTACCGCTTATGCCAAGCTCCGCAAGTACCCTGGGCCCACGGTAGCTGGGTTCACACAGCTCTGGCTCGCCAAGCAGACTCGTATCGGCAAGCGTAGCGAGATCGTGCACCAGGAGCACCAGAAACACGGTGCGTCCTCCTCTACTCCTCGTACATCCCGTCAGCTCATTTCGCTGATCTGTTCTGCTTGCAGGCAAGTTCGTGAGGATTGGACCTAAAGAGATCTCGATCAACGGTGCGTTCGACTGAAGGAGGCTCGTCGAAACGCCGCCTGACTTTCTGACCTCTCTCCCAGACCCGGCGGCGCTTCCTATCGTCTACGCACACGGTTCTGGCTCATTGAAGAGTAATTTCTACGATGCGTAAGGCCCTCCAGTCGATTCTCCTGCCCTCCAGAGCGCCAGGAAGCTGACACAAGCGCCCCGCAGCTTCGTCGCCTCGAAGAACCGCGGTCTCTTCAACACCCGCAACCGCGCCGAGCACACCCGCAAGCGCAAGATCGTCTCTCACACCTTTGCGCCCAAGTCGGTCCGCGAGTTCCACCCCTACATCACCAACACCGTCGCCGGCCTCTTGCGCAAGTTCGATGCTGCGTGCGAAAAGGCCGAGAAGAACCCTACTGCTTCGTCGAGCCAGTACGGCGAGCGCATGAAGGGATGGGCAGTCGTCAACACCCTTGACGCGTACAACGCACTCGCGTTCGACATCATTGGCGACTTGGCTTTCGGAGAACCGTTCGGCATGATCGAGCGCGACTTCCAGGACACGGTCGAGATTACCAGGGAGGACGGCTCGACCTTCTACGCACCGGCTGTTCAGATCCTCAACGAGCGCGGCGAGGTGAGGGCCAAATCGTCGAGGACTGGCAACTCCGCGCTGACACGGTTGTACGCATGCAGTACTCTGCGACGCTCGGCTGCCTCCCGCCTTGGATCCGTCCCTGGATGAAGGTGAGCTCACGTGCTCCCTAGAGACGATTGGCCTGCGCGGATGTCACGAATCTCCACTACGCACCTCCAGATGCTGACTTTCGCCTCCTTTGTCGACAGTACATCGACCCCTGGTTCGCTCGTGGTCTCGCCTCGGTCAACAACCTCACCGGTATCGCACGCACCGTACGTCCCTTCCCTCGTCCTTCACCTCCGCCCAACTGACGATCTCTCGGATTCGCAGCGCGTCAACAAGCGCCTCAAGGAGGGCGCAGGCGACCGCAAGGACATCCTTTCGCACCTTCAGAATGGAAGGGATGCGGAGGGGAAGCCTATGGGCGTGCCGGAATTGACGGCAGAGGGTGAGTCGGGACTGGCCTTCTCGATCTTGCGCTGCCAGCTGCAATGCGCTGCAGGCGGCTAGTGCTCGACGAGAGTGAACATCCAGACTGACGCGGCCATATCCCTTGCAGCCCTCACTCAGCTCATCGCCGGCTCTGACACGACCTCCAACTCTTCCTGGTCCGTCCAGCCTTCGCAATCTTCCGCGGCCTCATACTGACGCCTCTCTTCCTGCAGCGCCATCATGTTCTACATTGTCTCGAACCCCCGCTGCCACAAGAAGCTCCAGCAGGAGCTCGACTCAACGTTCGGCCCGCAAGGCATCTCGGGCGTCCTCGACTACGAGGACGTCAAGGCTTTGCCTTACCTCTCTGCGTGCGTCTTCCTCGCTCGAATTTCTGCGGAAAAGCGCTGACGAGGTGCCGCGCATGCAGATGCATCCAGGAGGCTCTCCGTCTCCACTCGACCAGTGGAATGGGTCTGCCTCGCATCATGACCCAGGACGTGCGTCAAGCTTTCGCTTTCGTCCAAACCACACTTCTTCTAACATTTCTTGGCCGCGACAGACCGAGGTCTGCGGCGAGGTCTTCCCTGCAGGCGTGAGTGTACCGCTCTTCTCCAACCTCGTCTTCGAGACTGACTCGTCTTGTCGATGCGCAGACCATCCTCTCCGTCCCGTCGTACTCGATCCACCGTCTTAAGGAGTACTGGGGTCCTGACGCCGATGAGTTCAAGCCTGAGAGGTGGCTCGAGTCGGAGGAGCGTACGAGGGAGCTCGAGAAGGCGCTCAGTGCGTCGCTTTGGCTTCTTCGCATACAGTTCTCCGGGATTGACGGGCACCTGTTGTACAGACGTCTTCTCGTACGGTCCCCGCTCCTGCGTCGGACGCAACGTCGCGACCATGGAGTGCGTGTTCTTCCTCTCGCCTTGCCCGAGACCGTTCGCTGATGATTCGCACGCACCGCAGGCTCTGGTGCTTCATCTCGACTCTCGTGCGTCGTGCCTTCTCGTTTACCTGGCCTAGCAGTTCGCTGACGCTCGTTGACCACCTCACAGAACCTCCGTTACGACTTCCGCCTTGTCGAGGAGAACCAGAAGCTGGAGGTCGTCGAGGGTTTCCTTCGCAAGTGCGTCCATGTCTCCTCCTTGCGCAGCCGACCTTCTCCGTGCTGACCTTAAGCCTCGTCCTGCAGGCCCGTCGAGTGCCTCATGGGCATCAAGCGCCGCGAGCCCGTCTTCAACGTCTAAACTCCCCGCCCTCGCCTTTCCCTTCTCTCCTCAACACTCTGCATATCGTCCATCCAGGTTTCTCTGCTCATTCGTCTGCTATCCTTCTCCTGTAGGCTTCCCTTCCCTTCCTCGCGCACACCTCGTCACATCGTTCCATGTTTCTGCTGAGCAGTGCAAAACACCAAAATCGTCGTTCCACCCAGCTGCTTGCGAATGGGAGGAGTGAGCGAGCGAGCAGACTCGACGATGAGCTCTCGAGCTAGCGCGACGGATGAGATTACGCTGCCTGTTGACAAGTAAAGCGCGACGAGGAAGATATATGTGTAGCGAGTCGTACAACCGAATAACACGAGAGAGATCTACTTCTTGCCCTTCCCGAGCACCTTGTTGATCGCGCTCTTGACGACCTGACCCGCCTTCTCGACCTCCTTCTTGGTCAGCGCGCTCGAGACACAAATTCGAATCGACGGGTCGTGCTGGACCATCTCTTGCGCCCAGTTGCGCTTGGTCGTCGTGAGGAGGACCCCGTTCTCGGCTGCGTGGTCGACAATCTCCTGCAAGAGCCGCTCTTGCTCTTCCCGCAGCGCGACCGATTCAGGCGCGGCAGGGACCGCCTGCGCTCCCGTGTTGCGGGCCGACGAACCTTGAAGAGCGGTCGAGTACGCGACTGCGCCCGGAGCAGGCTGGACGACGATAGGCTGAGGAGGAGGGTGCGAGACGCTCGAGTGACTGCGCTTGCGGCCCGTCGAGCTGCCGCTCTCGCCCAGCCGGGCCTTGCGGACGTTCTCGAGCGCCGAAGGGGTGATCCGGATGTGGATTAGGGGAGACATCTCGGCTGAGGGGATGCTGATGGTTGGAATGGCATCGAGGATTGCGCGGAGGGTGCGGACGTTCGAGGAGAGGGTGGCGAGAGGGTGCGAGGAGGGGTCGGTCGTTGAGAGAAGGGAGATAGCTTCCGAGGCGGAGACGGCGAGGAGGGGAGGAAGCGAGGCGGAGAAGACGGAGGCGGGCGAGTTGATGCGCTGTTGCGGACGGCGAGTTCAGCGGGCTATGTGGCAGTGTAGCAGGTGTGGACGCTCACCTGGTGCGTAACGACGTTCTGGCTGCCCACGCAGAACCCGCCGCCCGAACCGAGACTCGTCGCCATCGAGCCCGTGAGGACGTCGACAGCCGCAGCCTGCGAGCCGAGATCTGGGTTAGACGCTGAGAGCGGGTGGAAAGGTCACTCTGGACGCACGGGAATGTCGAAGACCTCGGTGACGCCGCGACCCGTCTTGCCGACTGCGCCGAAAGACCAGGTCTCGTCGAGGATGAGGCGGTACTTGTACTTGTGCTTAAGCTCCATCTGCGCGCGACACGGATCGTCAGCATACCTGCGTGTGTCCGTAGTGAGAGGAGAGCGTGGACACACGACTTTCGGGAGGTTGACCATGCTGCCGTCCGCCTCAAAGACACCCTCGGTGACGATGAACCTCCGACTAGCAGTCGGTTTCCTCTTGTACTTCTTGTCCTCCTTCTTGATCTGCTCCAACACACGCTCCAAGCCCTCGTAGTCCCCATGCTCGTACCACCTCACCGTCGAGCGCGAGATCTGGATCCCCTTTTGAATCGCAAAGTTGACGCTTCGATCCGCGACGATAATGTCGCCGCGCTTGCAGAAAGAGGGGATGACGGATGAGACGCAGCTGAATGCGTGGGCGTAGTTGATTGCGGCGGGGACGTTCAGGAATGTCGCGATGTCGCGCTCGAGTTCGAGGTGGACATCTGCGGGACCATAGCGTCAGCGGGGCCTCGAGACGGCGAACGAGCTTCTCACGACGCACCGAACGTGCCGTAGAAACCGGCTGGACCGCACGATCCGACGCCATACCGCCTCAATGCCTGAACAGCCTTCTCCTTAATCTTCTCATTCGCCGCAAGCCCCGCAAAGTTCGCGCTCGCGAGGTTGATGACCTGCTTGCCAGGCTGGTCGAGCGAGAGCGGGTTCTCGGGGTCGTGAGGGTCCTGGCCGGGCTGGGGGAAGATGACTTTCGGACGGGCGCCGGTTGCGCCGACGATGATGGGCGGGTGGAGAGGGGTTTCTTGGTTCGGCGGGAGGAGGGGCTCGGGGACCCACTCTGTGACGAGCTCGTCGATTTCCTGCAGGAAGAGCGGATGTCAACGCGCGAGCTTCCGACAGACGCAGTCCGCCCGGACAGCCGTTTGTGTCCGGCCCTCGCACCCTGCCCAACGGACGCGCGACTGACCTTCTCGCTGAGGGCGACAAAGTTCTTTCCCGAGCTCTCGCCCTTTGTGCGGGCCATGAGGTACGTGCGGACGATGAAGAAGACGAGGAGGAGTTCGAGGACGGTGCGGAACGGGTCGTCCTGGTGGCTCGCCTTGAGGTAGCGCCATGCGATGGCGCTGCCTGGGACCCTGCTGGTCAAGTCCCCGAGGCGGTTGAGCGAGTAGGCGAGTGCGCTGACCAGCTGTTCGGCTGCGACGGAGGTGGCAGTCGGCTGGGCGGGGAGCGGTGTGGCGTACGGTGCACCTGCAGAGACGTAAGGAGACGCCATCCCGAGCACAGCGAGCGTGTCTAGCAACCCACACGGCGTGGTCGAGCGAGTCGTGAGAGTCGAAGCCGGACGCGACCAGGACAACTCGCGCTTGCCGTGCTCGCTCGAGTGCCAGTAAATCAGGATACACTGTGATGCATTACTTGCCAGTGCTCTTACGTTATCCCGCTGCGTTGATGCGAGGTCGTGTCTTCATCTCGCTCGTGTGCGATCACTCTCACTCGCTCACATCCGCTCACAGTTGGCCTGGGCTGGCACCGGGCTGCCATGCAGCACTACACATCGCCGTACAGTGCACCCACAGCAGCGCGGCTACGGCAGCGCGGGCGGAGACAGCGCTCGTCCATCTCGCTCCTCGTCGACCGCGAAGCTCCCCGTACCCTCCTCTCGTTCGCACGGCGCAAGGCGGGGTCACTGGCATCCCTCGGAATAGGCGTGCTCGTCGGACTGCTGATAGCGAGCTTGCTGGGCGGGAGCCAGGTGCGCCAGTTCTCTCCTCGTCTCTACACGGCTGGGCAGTTGGAGCATATCGCTTGCCCGCGAGACTGGCTCGTTGACTGCAGACGCGATTTGACTGACGCTTCTCTACTGTGTCGAAACAGCCCGCAGCGGTACCATGGAAGGGATCGGCCGTCGTCGAGACTTGGACGCAGCGGCAAGGGACGCACCGCAACCTCGTCTCGCTCCCGACGCTCGAGCAGCGCGAGCGCGTCTTCAAGATCCTCTCGACCCTGACAGGGTACCACACGCGGTACTGCCTGCGGAACGCGCAAAAGGCGTACCGGCGGCAGATCTACGAGCGGTACGAGCCGCTCGTCGGGTACGAGCAGCATGGGAAGCGCAAGGGCTTGCGCGGGCACCTCAAGGCGATCGTGCCCAAGGTCGCGCGGAGAGGGTTCTTTGGCGGCGCAGACGACGAGAAGACCGAGGTCGAGCAGATCTTTTCGCACCACCGCGACGGAGGCAGCGGCGGCGGCAACTCGCTCTCGCGCTCGTACGAGGGCCACAAGTACTTCTTCGCCATCAACCTGTACAACTCGTTCGATATCATCCCCGACCTCTTCAGCAACATGTTCAAGGTCTCCGCCATCCTCGGTTTCCAGAACGTCTTTGTCTCCGTCTACGAGAACGGATCAAAAGACCAGACCAAGGCGCTCCTGCGCCTGTTCGACGCCCTCGCGCGCTCGATCGGCCTCCGCGTCGTCATCCGCACATCGCTCCGAACCCGCGGCGCATTCAACCACCGCATCGAGTACCTCGCCGAGGTCCGCAACGCCGCGCTTGCCCCGCTGTGGGAGCTCCGAGACGCCGAGGGCGAGGTGTTTGACTCGATCATCTTCATGAACGACGTCTTGCCCTGCGTCGACGACCTCCTCGAGCTCGTGTGGCAGAGTCGCCGCCAGAACGCCGGCATCACCTGCGGCAGCGACTACATCTTCCACGACGAAGTGGTGCGTGACCGAGACTCGCTTTCGACGTTGACTGCGTCACTGACCCGCTCTTCGCGCAGGGACAACCCGTCTTCTACGACAAGTCCGCCTCGTCGCTTCCCGTCTTCTGCGACTCCCGCTGACGTTTGCCCCGCTACAGCTGGGTTGCTCGTGACATGAACGGCACTGCGCTCGAGAACGCCCCCTTCGAAGCCGTCTTCCGCGACATGGAGTCGTCGCACCGTTTCCAGCGCCACCTGCCCGTCCAAGTCCAGTCCTGCTGGAACGGTATCGCCGTCCTCGACCCCGCGCCGTTCTACGCCCACCCGCACGTCAAGTTCCGCATGGCGAAGCTGTCGGCGGGTGAGTGCTCGGCCTCCGAGTGTTCGTTGATTTGCAACGACTATTGGCAGGCCGGGTACGGGCGGATCATCATGATCCCGCGCGTCAAGCTGGCTTACGACCGGGTTCGATCTCACTTCCCTCGCTCCCTCTCGAGACCGTAGCTGACGCAGCTTCCGTGCGGAACTACAGCAAGTTTGGGACATTATCCACCCGGAACGACGGAACCTCACCTACATCCGCGGCTACACCCGGCTCGGCGGCAACCCCGACGACCCGCACTCGGACCCGCAGGACAGGAGCTGGTACGGACCGCACGACAGGCTGTTCCGTCAGGAGGAGAGCGAGGCCATCAACTTCCGCCAGCCGCCCAAGTATGGTGCGTCCTGCCGTTTCTCTGTCGTCGCTCTGCGGGCATCCCTGCACCAGCTGCTGCGTGTCTTGCTTCGTCGGCCCTCGCTTTCGCCGGTGGATGGCCGCTGACGTCTCTCTCCACGTCCGTTTCGCTCGCAGTCTGGTGCTGGG